TCGGGTCAAATGATCTCTTTCACCGAGAAACTAACAAATTAAAAATATCAGCTGCTTATAACATACCCGGACAGAGATATTCGAAGTTTAAGCTATTTTCCGTATATGTAATATGTCCTTGGTTTAAAATTTTAGCAGAATTTGTTTTTTTCGTGATGGTTGGATAGAGCGTATCGAGTTTCATAAGAAAAAGTGTGTTTCAAGAGTTTCAAAAACAATTGTACGAAAAAAGTCCAAGATACCATTATTTTCCAATATGAGGAGAAATAGACCCAAAATTTTGATTTGCGTAAAATTGTTTTTAAACTTTTGAAAGACACTTTTTCTTATGCAACTCGATGAGCTCTATCCAGCCATCACGAAAAAATAAATAAATAAATTCTGCTAAAATTTTTAACCAAGAGTATATTACATATGCGGAAAACAGCTTAAAATTCGAATATATCTGTCCAGATATGCCATAAGCAGCTCATATTTTAAATTTGTTAGTTTCTCAGTGAAAGTGATCATTTGACCCGAGCATGGTCAATCTCTTTGCTCAACGGTGCAAACCCTTCATTGTAAGCTTAGATGTAGTAGAGATATTTCACGGTAGTATTAATGCAATCATAGTCCAGTTCACACTTCATTTTATATGTTAAACTTTTGGAACAGTGATGAAAGATTTTTCTAATGTTATCACAGAATGTGACGCTTGGAACTACGTGATAGCAAGAAATTTAACAAGTCTCACTACTTTTTCTGGATATCAACGAAAAATTTTCTAATTCTGAAGAGGTTTCGACTTTTCTGCATCTTCACTATTTCTGTCATTCGCGGATCCGCCATATCAATTGAGTCACTTAATCAAGTACATCTGGGGAGTTTCTACTCATATTCCCATCTTTTGTCTTTACAGCCGAAAATACTTAGTCAACAACGATGGATACATTTGTAAATGCATATGATGAAAAAATTCGTCCACTGATGGACAAAATAGATCAAGCTCGAGCCATTTTATCATCGAGTAATGATGGCATTATTTTTCCCAATGTGGTTGTAGTTGGTGATCAGTCCAGTGGCAAATCAACACTATTAGAAGCATTGTCCTTAGTTGAACTTCCAAAAGGTTCTGGTATTGTTACAAGATGCCCACTCGTTTTACGATTACGTAAAGCCAATCAACGACGAGTCTATCATTTACATAATGATAATCGAAAAGTTCTATTGGATGAATCGAAATTAAATATCTTACATTATATCGAAGAAGAAACAAAAAAATTAGCTGGTAGTCATAAAAATGTTGTTCACGATTTAATCGAATTACAAGTCGAAGATCCAAATGTACGTGATTTAACTGTGGTCGATTTACCTGGCATAGCTCGAAATCCTATTGCCGATCAACCACAAGACATTCATAACCAAACAACCAATTTGATTCGTCAATTTATTCGTCAAGAAGGCAGTGTTATTCTATGTGTCTTTCCAGCAAATGTCGATATCGCCACTGTTGAATCATTCACATTAGCACGTGAATTCGATTCTAAAGGTAGTCGAACAATCGGTGTTATAACAAAATCAGATCTTGCTTCAGATAATACTGCATTAGCTCAACAATTACTGATGGAAAAACCGGATATATTTCAATTAAAATTAGGTTTTATTGCTGTTCGTAATCGAAGTACAGATGAACGAATTTCTCTCAAAGATGCACGTAAACGTGAACAAGAATTTTTTCGTGAACATTCCATTTCAACTCTTGTCGGATCACATTGTCTTGGTATTGATGCATTAATTAATCGTTTAGCTGATTTATATTCTGATCGTGTGCGTGAAATCTTTCCGAAAATGAAAAATGATGTACAAAAAAAGTTGAAAGAAACTTGTGAACAATTAGAAAAACTTCCACCAAGTTTAGAAACTGCTTCAGCACGATTAACAAAATACTATGAATTAGCTGAACTTTATATTGAAAAGATTCTGAAACAACGTTTTACAAGTTCTAATGATGGTCGACATCCTGTTAGTTTAGTCAATCATTTACATATGAAATTGAAACAATTTGAAAATGTTATTCTTGGTCAAAGTCGTGAATTATTTACAGAAAAATATCGTATAAAAGTACGAGATGCTATGTCAGCATGCTTTGGTGAGCAGCTACCAAATTTTCTTCCACATCCTGTTTTAAAACGTTTAGTAGGGGAAAAACTTGATCAACTTTGGTCGGTAGCAAATTTACTCATCAACGAATGTTTTCAGAAAACAATGAATATTTTATCGGAAAATGATCGTGAAGAATGTCATGATGATGTTTTACTATTAAAATTGTTGCCAATTTTTCGTCATATTTCTATTTCGTATTTGAATGATAAGAAACAAACAGTAAATAATCAACTTGAAGAACTTATTCGATTAGAAAAACATGATCCGTATACATTGAATAATTATTATATGGAGACAATTATTAAATTTAACGAACATTTAGCAGACAAACAAGCGGAAAATGCAACAAAAAAGAAGAGTTCTTCGTCGACAACAAATCATGATATTCTTCACGATCATTTTCCGATAAAATATTCATTGTTTTCTGAAAANCAAATATCATTAGTTTTAAAAGAATTTCGTCTTATACATTATCGAAGAAAAAGACGTGCCCGCTCCTCCTCTTTCGATTGGTGAAAACCGCAGGTAGCTAGGTATTGCGGTTGTCGAGTTATTGAGCTTACACTCACCCCTCTTTTATTCTGGCGCGGACATTAGTCATCCTAGCAGTTGTGTTAGTGGCGTAACCAGAAAAAAAACTTGTAGAGGAGGCTCAAGCATCTGTGGTCGCCTTTCTAGAGGGGGCTCAAGCCTTTCTTAAGCGAGACTCAAGCGTTTGTAGAGGGGGCTCGGCGCCTTCTAGATGGGGCTGAGCCCCCTCTAGCTCCCCTCTGGTTACGCCACTAAGTTATGTACACATACGCACATACAATAACCACTATATGTAGCAACAGAGAAAAGACGGCAAGCAGTGACATTGCATTAGGGAAAAACCAAAACGAAAATAGAAGATAACAAATAGTGCGTTTTGCATCATAATTACGGACAAGGAGAAAGAGCCAAAGAAAAGTAGTGAGATGCATGATCAGCGGAAACAAAAGTAAATGATACTGACACGACGAGAAAGAAACGGATGACTCTTTCAAAATTGAACGAAAATAAAAGAAAGAAGAAAGGTTCAAGATCTTATCGATGCATGTATATACGTATAAACCAAGATTCTTTTAGAAAACTGTAAAAATTTTTCTAGGAGGGAAAATATTTTCAAAAAAATTTCCCCAGATCTAATAAATTTTCAAAAATTTCCCCGTACGGCCGTACGCGCACGCGGGTAGATTCTGCACCTTTGACAATTATACACATAGTTTCATTCACACCTTCATTTTTATTCAAAGCATTATGAAGCAAAATATAAAATATATTTAAAAAAGAATTCAATGGTTCCTTCAAATAACTGTCAATAACAGCGTTGTTTCTCGTGAGATACATAGTCAATAATGGCATACGATCTCGGCAACTATTCATGGTCATCAGTCTCTTTTTTCTCTTCTTCAAGGAGAGATTGAAGTGGAGTAACCGCAGTTGTTGTGTTTGTTTTCTTTTTTTTCATCTTTTTATGTTTAACACGAACACCTTTACGTGTACTTTTCTGATTATTGTCAGCAGAAGCAGTAGAAATGTTCAGTTTTGAACTGGTCGATGTCAAATGTATGGTATCAATCTGCGAAGGTCTTGGTTCACCTGTAGTCCGTAAAGTATGTGATGGAACAGTTTTCACATATATTTTGCTATCGTTCGTTTCCACTAATGGTTCTGATTGAACGTTTTTCTTAATATCGTCTAATCGAATAGTGTTTTCAATAATCGATGGACGAATATCATCAATTGGAAGTGTTTTTGTTGCTGTTGGATGTGCATGTATATGAGTGACACGTACATGATCTATGTCACCTGCGCTACTACGTCTTGCAATTCTCTTTTTATGAGTATGTTTTGGATGTTGTTGTTTTGGCAGTTGTTTACCGAAACTGTTTGATCTTCGTTTAGTTTTCATATTCATTAAAGAGGTTTGACCACTTTTGTTCGGATGCAAATCGACTATGGGTAGACTTTTTTTCTTTTTTTCTTGTTTAGATGCTAAGTTCGCTGACTGTAGGTTCAGATTTACTACAATCGGCGTTATTTCGTCTTTTGGATCAGATATATTAGTTATCACTTTTCCTCCAGTATCATCATCTATTTTAGGTGAAGAATGCTTCGTCTTTAAAGGTGTCATGTTCAAATCATTCTCTTTTGTATTCCGTCCTAGTTTTTCAGAAACGACCGATGTTGTTTTACTATTGCTTAGCACACTGTAAGGAGAATTGATCTCTGGCGTTGCAGAAGAAATTTTAGCCAAAGATACCAAAGATGGAAGAGATTCCATACATAGCTCAGTATCATCTATCTTGATGGTTGTGTTAGAGTTGTATAGTTTATGGTGAAATCTACGAGTAGAATGCCTACAAAAGAATTGAAAAAGTGATATCTTCATTATTGAATTTATATATACTTTTTATAATATTGCACAAAGCAATAACTAATGATAAGAGCAGCTATAGAAAACAAACCGATAAGACTTCCAATCAATGGCCAAAGGTTAGCATTTGCTGAACATAGAAGAAAAACATTTAGCACTAATGACAATAACAAAAAAGTATCTACAAACCCGTTATTAATCTTTCCGACATTGTCGTTGTTGGTGTGGTTGTTGTTGTTGTTTCTGTTGTTGTTGATGTGGTTGTTGTTGTTGTTTCTGTTGTTGTTGATGTGGTTGTTGTTGTTGTTTCTGTTGTTGTTGATGTTGTTGTTGTTGATGTTGTTGTTGTTGTTGATGTTGTTGTTGTTGTATTGTATATAACTCCAGGACATGTATTGTCACCATTTTCTGTGACATAGAATGTGAAGCAGTATTGTGAAGACTGTGAACTTTGACTGAAATAAAATCAAGTATTTTTTAATTTATTAAACTGGTGAATATATACCTATTGAGAGCCATTGCACACATTACTTGATATCCAACTTGCTTTATTGTTGGTGTCCATGTTAAATTTTTATAGTAAACGCTAGAATTCAACATTATGACAGAAGTTTGAACCATACCAGAAAAAGACAGTGTAGAAATATCGGTAATAGTGACAGTTGGTCCACAATTATTAATCGCCAATAGTGTTGATGTAAATGTATGATTGACTTTGATTGCTGTGCATGATTCTGTAAGAACGATTAGCTCAGGTCGATGGGAACATGATGGCGCAGCAATGACTTTTACAATAAATTGAACGGGTACTGAACTCAATGGTGTGGTGCTGGACGAATTCATGAAATCTTCTACCTAATTGAGAAGAAAAAGAAAAAGCCAAATTCTTTTTTTTAAGAATGAAAGAACGAAAATATAACCATGAGTCCGACAGCATACTTGCTACCAACTGCGGTACCAGTAATTACAATAGTACAGTTTGAATAGATGGTTGTATTTGAAGGCAATGAACTTGGTGGACAAACGCTTGCACATTCATCAACACCATTCGATGATGTTGCCCAACGACAGCGCAGAACATCTCCATCAGCATCACTTACTGATACAGTAACAATTGTTCTTTCGTTTACTATAATATTGATTGGGGACATCATGGTAGAAACTGGTGCACTGTTATATTTGCCACTATCAGTTCTTGGTACTAAATTGATGTACGATGAAATAGACCAAGTACTTCCGCCTGTTGCTAAAGAACCCCATGAACTACCTCGAAAAGCTACTGAAAAGCTGCTACCCGTTGGAATATAAACTGTATCTAAACGTTGTCCAACGGTGATACCATTTATCACCGAAATATCGGTACAATATGGTGTAGCTGGCACAGTTCCAAAACCAACTGGACAAGACGGCAAGCAAATAAGATTTCCTGCTGAAGTGGGAAGTAGTTGATTATTTGCAATCATAGCGCTTGTGCATATGACAGATGTATATGTCCATGAATATGTTTGAGTTATGACAATAGCCACAGGTGTACCAATAGCCGATTTATTCTGCAATTGCCAAGTAATGGTACCACCCAAAAAATGACTTCCATTGACCATAATGATAAGTATTGAGACACAAAAGACGTGGAAGAAACGTATCTGTATCAATGTCATCATTTTTTTGAAATTTTTTTCAACAAGTTGAGTAGGCTTTTTGACTTGAGAAGATGAATTGCTTACTGCATGAAATTCAAATTATCTGCAGTTGTAAGAGATCTTCAGTAGGCAAGCATAAACAATTCAACAATAATATGACGATTGATTTTTTCTTCTTCCTTTGATGGTTTGTTATGCAATTGTTTCTGCATAGAATTATTTCGTTATAGAAGAGACTAATGTAAATCTCCAAAAAGGTGTTTTTTTTTCATTAAATTTGATTTTCAAGTGTGCAAAAGAAAAAGCAAGTAAAAACGATGGTTTTTTTTTTTTGAATAACAGTATACATCTCGCAGTAGATGAATTTCATATATCCAGTAGACATGCAATAGTGATGCTCAGAACTGGGTTTCTATGATTAAATATCACTTGGCAAATCATCACGAAGAAAAGAAATCTTTTTTGAAGAAAATTATTTATAGAAAATATTAATTGCAATGCATGCGATGGGATGTAGCTTCACGTACTGATTACAAAAATTGTCTTGAACTTAGGCTAACGTGTTATTTAAAAAAAAAACAAGAAATGACTTGAAGCAAAAACGAAAGTTTTTTGGAACTCTCTAGCCCAATATATGATGACAGATGCGATACGGTAGACATAGCTAATGATAAACAAACATAGAGGAAAACAATGTTCAATGGATTATGCCTAATTGGAGTAAAAATTTTTGTAGCGTTAGAAAACCGGTGTATTATGTGTCTTCGAAATCGTGAAAAACTTGGTCATAAATCGCCGATTTTTTTCGATGATTCTGACAATCTTTATGATAAATCCCAGTTGAATCATCGAGTATTGTTCTTCACTATATCGATAATAGAAGTAATTATCTTCATATAATCTTGATTTGGACTCTTTATAGTACGAAGTTTCTGTTGCTAGTTTATGTTAATGAATATTTTTATTGAAAAAAAAAATGAGTGTTTATATTATTCTACATGAATAAAAACACCCAATAGAAACAAAAATATCAATATGGCATACAATGTCTCAAAACAATTGAGAATACAATCGTAAAAGAAACAAAAAAGAAAACATTCATACATATGAATTGATGTTTTGAACTGAGTTTTTTCTCTGAAATGGTTCCACCACATATCCATGTTCGTTAGTCAATTAAGTATCTAAAACAAAGATTAGGGTAGATTTCGTAATTAAAAGACTGAACTAAACGAATGACGATAGAAGATGTCATCTTAAAGAAGAAAGACAAATTTTCAACTTAACATCAATCAAGCATCTCAGTAGCAAGCACAAAGACAGATACTTGATGTATTTCCTTTTTTTTGCATATGAAATAAATATCTTTAAATTTTTCGATATAAAGAAATTTGAAAAAACAAATACGTTCATCACCAAATAAAATTGATAGCATAGTATTTATTTGTTCATACGAAAAATTCAAGAAAAACCAATAAAAAAAGAAATCTTATTCATTCTCATTGTCCATCTGTTTATATGAATTACATTTCGAATCCTATACTTTCATGTTTATTTTGTTCATCCGATGGATGTCAAGTTTTTTGTTTTTTTATTATTCATTTTGTTTCTGCTGAAAAGCATGTGATAAGATTGTTTAACATAATTATATTCTCAATGATTTGTGTATAAATAGTACGTGTATGATATAGTTTTCGAATTTGGACATTATGCATAAGGTAGAATTCAATGCAATGTGAAGAAATTTCAACAAGATTAGTCCTCTTAGACTTTTCGTCGGTAGTTATAGGTATTTAACTATAATTTTAGTCTCAGGCATGATACATACCAACAAATCGGATGACGGTAGTTCGTTCTGAGAATTTTTCCATAGCGAAAGTTATTCATATTCAACGAAAGTACCAGATTTTTCTGTTTTTGACTTAATATCTCGGGAGGAAGATGTTTTTGTGAGTGAAAATTTTCACAACATTCTATTGAGGAATAGATCAATATTATCTGTTTGTGTGAATATTTTTTTTTGTTATAATTCTAAGACAAAATTCAAATATTTTCTACATAAAACATATTGCTTTCAATGCATATACAAAAAACAAAGCTTTTTTCAATGATATATTTAACAAAGAAACTGCAAAAAAAAGAATCCAGAATCGTGTTCTTCAACAAATATCAAAAGTAATGCTTTGTATATTGCCTTTGCATTTTAATGTAAAGTGTCGCAAAGAAATATAATTTATTTTACTTAAAAGTATCAAGAAGGAAACATCATCGACTCGTGATTCTTTGTGGATGATTCATCGGTGAGCTCCCACACATATATAATGACGTCGATACTTGTGGGTGTGGGTGTGGGTGTGGATGGGTGTGGGTGTGGGTGGTGGTGGGTGTGGGTGTGGGTGGGTGTGGGTGTGGGTGTGGATGTGGATGTGAGTGTGGGTGATGGTGCGGGTGTGGGTGTGGGTGTGGGTGTGGGTATAGTGAAATTAACGATCCACAACCCACCCTGTTTAGGTAAACTATACCACAATGGCATCAAGTGCAATCGATGAAGAATAGTAAATGAAAAAAGAAGCCCATTCCAATGCTTGTCGAAAAAAAACAGACAAAAAAATTGATCAAGACGTATTCTTAAACGCTTGATGATAAAATCCTTGATGCCTCTGAAAATAAGAATAATATCAAATAGAAAANCCTGAAAAGCTCTACAAAACTTGTAATAACAACTCCCTCTTCACTACTGTTCATACTCAAAATGAAAAAGCTACACGATAGTACGACTTCTCACCATAATAAAAAAGGTTTGGAAGACTTTTTTGTTTTCCAATAGGAATTTGTTTATACAGCTTTTGTAGAGCTTTCTACGGCGCATCTTTTGAAAAAAAGTCAAGGTTTTAGCATTTTCTCAAGCTGAGATACATGCAAAACAAAAAGGTCTTGCAAACCTTTTTTTATTACTTACAGTATGGTGAGAAGTCGTACTATCATGTAGCCTTTTCATTTTGAGTATGAACACAAGTCAATAGGGATTTGTTATTACAATTTTTGTAGAGCTTTTCACGGCGCATCTTTTTTGAAAAAATTCAAGATTTTATCATCTACCTAAGCCGAGATATAGACATTTTGACAGACCCAGAATACAGGAAAATTTCGAAAATAGTACATGACAGTGTTGTTCTAGGCTCTCACCCATAGTACAAGCTATAGACCTGAAACTTTGCAGTTATGTAGTACCACATATGTACAACAATCTACCAAAGTTTCAGCGAATTTGCTTTTGTAGAATGCGAGAACGGTGAATACTTAAAATCGTTTCAGAATATCTGGAACACCCTTTATATTTTAAGACGAGAATTAGTTATTTCATACTTTCGACTAATTGCACCAAGCATCAAACATGATCAGTTTCATTCTTCAAGTACATACGATTTATTCAACGCTTGCAGTAAGTCAAATTTATAAACTTCATACGTTGCTTATTTTCAAGCGTATTATCAGAAAATGTCATTTTGTTGAAATTTCAGTCAGTAACCAAACGTTCAAAGGAATAAAACAGGTTTGTTGAATTTCTACTTGACATTTATTCATATTCCTGTAAAAACTTTTCCGATGAAATACTAAATATTGAAAAAAGTCAGTATTCATATCTTCTGAAATGTAATTATTTGATCAGTTAGAAACATATTAGAAATGAAGGAAAATATAGAACCTGTTCAATTCAATTGAACGCAGTTTCCACTTGTATTTAGTAATATGTTCATATATTCTTAGTTCAATTAATAAGGACTACAATATTTATTCAATATGTGTGTTCTGCGAACATCTTTTAACAAGAAAACGATTATATATTTTTTTGCACACACACAGTTATATTTTTTCGAAAAAGCACTGTCATAATTTTCACATATTGATAAAATTTTCTAGTCTACGACAATAATTAACAAAAGAAAAAAATCCTACATTCTATTATTCGAATACTAATATGAATAAGAATAATTCGATCAAAAACACAGATATGCATCTATCATTTTGTGCATAGAAAAAAATTCCCTGAGAATTTATATGTCATTTTTTTGTTTTATTTATGTTGTTGTATATCGTGTTAAAGATGCTGGAAGTGTATCATTAAAAAGAGTTGTATATGCTGTTTTAATTGAATTAATATAATTTTGCATTGTTCGATTTTTATTATTTGATTGTTCGAGTTTATCACGTAATTCAGTTAATTGTGATGTAAAACGTCGTTCAAGTTCATCTTTTTCGTGTTTTAATTGTGAATATTCAAGACGAAGTCTTGATATTTGTTGTTCAAGATCAAATGTATCTTTTGGAAGAAAACGTTCCTATTCAAAATAGATCAAAAAAGAAAGATAAAATTAATGATTATGGAAACAATGAAAACATTATTATAATTACTTTAGAACCATATGCACCATTTCGAAATTTAAAATCTGTTGTTTTCAAATCATCTTGCTTATTTATTGATGTGAATTCATATGTTTTAGCATTTAGACGATACTAAATCATAAAAAAAACGAATATAAGTAAGAGCTTATTCATACATTTTTGAACTAATGAAGTTCTGTATTTCGAATAAATTTCTCACAGAATAGTAGCCTGTGCATACACAAGTATAGAAATATATCACAAAACAAAAATAGACTTCTATACTTTTTCAGTTTCTTTTTATCACATAATCTGAGTGATACATTATTCATGACACTATTGTTTTTATTCATACGTTCATCTATCATCAACACTTCGTGAATCTTAATATAGATATATTAAACTGTGTTTATTGCAATACTTTGGTTTGAGAAACTCTCGAATTTTAGAAGAGTTGAGAAAAAGCTGTCCGGTGACCTTATTTTAGAAGTTAATGCACAGTGGTGAAACGCAAGGATATATAAATATATTTAAATTATCTTGAAAGAAGTATAAAGTAAATATTTTTCTATTAAATGAGTACTTCTAATTTTTGATGAAATAGGTGGTTCAGATCTTATGATTGTTTGAATAATAGATATTGTACTCATCTAATACGGGTACTAACTTTTTGAGTTTGAAAATCTTTCGTTTAATTTCTACCGATCATTGTTCAGCATTGTGGTGTCTCATTTTTTTGTGAAATGTGATATAAAAAGAGTGTTGAAGTATAAGGGTAGAAATTCGAACCCAGCCACACAGATGTAACAAACATCCTTAGCAGCGCTCATTACATTTCTGAAAGATTGAATAAATGGATGGTGAAGAAATATGTCCGAAAATAGATAAGAATATAGCAATCTCTGTAAGATTAGCAACAGTAACTACATCATCTTTCACATTTTAATTTCGCAGCGATTGTCCTAACAGCTTTCGCTTAAAGATTCGTTCGAATTTTTATCACTTTTATAAAAATTTAGATTGTTTTATTTGTACACTGCCTATAATTCCATAAGAAGAAGAAGAAGTCGAACATAATGGTATAAAACCCCATGTGTATTTCCTATTCGTCAGTTCCTGAAACTGGTGTTCAGCTCATGAAAGAAACTCATCTGTTTATTAATAGAAAACATGTGGAACAAATGAAGTTAGATACACCAAAGAAGTTACAAATAAACAGCGAGAAGCCATGAACTAATCCATTTGGTAATATCGGGAGGGATAAAATGATCATTATGATTCGATTGTTTAGTCATTCGACTGTAGCTAATTGATTGAACTTATTTACTTTTTCGACTTACTTAACATACGTATTGGTCATCAAAAATACAGATTAATTTCATCTCTCTAGCTTTATCGTCTAGATTACGTCTCAACTGGTAAGACTTAATCCAAATTGGCATAATTATTATTTTAAAAAAAGGAAAATTTTATGAATAGTTTACTTGTGCATTTCGTAATTCTTCTTCTTTTGTATTGAGCATTTTTGATAATTTTTCATTTTCTTCTTCCAATGAAATTATTTTGCTAAAAATATCACTATGAAAAAAAAGAAAACATAATTTTTCTTAAATATAAATTACCGTTGTAGAGTTCGAATGTCATCATCAGGTAAAGAACGATTAGAATTACTTCGATCAGTTAATTGAGTTTGATTTAGAAAATTTGATTGTCGAGGTAAACGTTTTCTGAGTTCATCAATGTCTTTTTGAAGTTTTTCTTTTTCTATTTCGGCTTGTTTTAATAATTCAGGTAATGGTTCAAGTTCTTCAATACGTTTTTGTAATCGACCACGAACTTTTTCTAGTTCAACTTCAGATAAATGATTTTTACTATGATTAGCTGATGCTTTAAATGTTTGAGTTTGTAATCGTGCTCTATAATCATTGACTAATTGTTCAGTTTGTTCAAGTTTTGTTTTTAAACTTTGAATTTCTGAATTTGTATCATCTTGTTGTTCATTATTATTATTATCATTGCATAATTTTCTTTTTAATTCATTTATTTGATGATCACGATCATTTAATTCCGTTTGCAATCGTTCAATTGTTATTGCTTTTGTTTTAGTTGTAGAATTTGATGGAGACAAACAAGTAGAACATCTTGGTTTACGCTTAATAGGTCGATGACGATTACCACATTGACAATGACTATGTTGAAGATCACGTTCCAATGACTATAAACATATAAATTAATAAGTTAAAAACAAAAACAAACGAGAAATTTTTCAGTTATATAATGAATGTTTATTGTAGCCAGGGTTCGAAAGTAAGTGTGACTATACATTTTTTATTTGACTTTGATTTTTTATAAGAATTATTTTTCTGATTAAGTTGTTTTAGTATAAACATATGGAAAAATATTGATTGTTTCAGTTGACTATTAATTAAAAAAGATATTAACAAATATCTTTCTAACTAAATGAGAAAAAAATCTGAAAACTTTAAGATAAACTCTATGCTACAAATTTCATCTATGGTGAAATCTTTAGCAAGACCAAGCTCCAAAAAACTTCTTTTCAAAAATCTATTTTTTTGGAGATCCTGTGAAATTTCGAAACAAAAAATATTTTGTCTTACCATCATCTAGAGACTCTGAATACGTATTTGCATTGGTTGGAATTAGTTTTGAAACTTCATATTCGGTTAGAAGAACATTTTTTCGTACTCCACCACGTCATTAAGAAAAAGTAAATAGATTTTTTTTGAAGAATCAAAGTATACTTAAAAATTTTGCAGCTCTAGAAGTTGTCTACAGAATGTACTATTTAGTTTTTCAAAAATAGTGTATTAATTTGGAATTTTTTAAAACTAAAATGCATGAAGTAAAAGTCAATGTTCTTTTTTGTGTCATGTCGCTAATGAATAATTGTACAAATATATATATATATATATGCAAATCAAAAAAATCATGCTCAAGCAATTAGCAAAGCTATTGTGTTCGATTGTTTTCACTTTTAGCAAAGATCGATCTTTCCTAAAAAGGATAAGTCCTAATAACTAAATCACCTTGATATATACATTCCTAGACAAGTTCGTGTAGGTCTATCATTTTTTTGTAATATTGAACCTATATTTTGAGTGTATGTGTAGGATAAAAAAACTCTGATTGCAAGTGTCATCCTGCCCGTTATCAGTTCACATGTACTGAATTTATGATTCACACGTCTTCTTTCCTTTATAGAAATCACATTCAGCGGAAATATGCGCTCAAAAAGCTTTTTTTTGTCGTATTGTTATTCCACAATCTACTACTATTGTTTTCTAGTGATAAAGACAGTCCCGTATGTCTATTCTATTATCATCAAAGTCTGTGACATGCAATCAAGATTTTTGTAATTATCATACCCTGAAAAAGAAAAATCCTTATATCCTAACACTAACTCAATTTCATTCAGCGCTACGACTCTAAAACTTTTAGAAGAGATTCATGGTCCTATAAGACCTTTCTACTGAAATTTTTAAATAGATTAGTCAAAGTCATCATCATGAAAGAGATTGATCTTATTACAAATCAGCATTTTCTTTTCAACAGGAATTTTTAATGAGAAGACAATACTCAACTATTTCAAAGTGACTTTCGAACCAAACTTGGACTAGAGATGGGTACAACATTGGTCTTTGCAATCATAAGACTATGTGTAAATCTTTACTCTCGTACATATGAATTGATCGACGAGTGATTGGTCCTTGCAATCAAGATTTATTGTTGCATGCATTCAAAATATCAGCTCAATATCATAAAGTGAAGTTTAGACATTATTTATGCCTTAAATTAATATAAAACTTGAAAACAGACTTATTCTAGTTAAAAACATAATGATTGTGCATGATATGATTTCTAACAAAGACTTAACTTTCGTTTTTAATCGTCAACAATCCTACTATTGAGAATTATATTAGTGATGATATTTCGTAATTAGCGAACTATATTAAATATACAATAGAAATCATTCTTACTCGTAGAGCACATTGTAAACGATGAATTTCTCCTTCTTTTGTATATAATTCACGTTGAAGATGAGCACGATTTTGTTCTAAGGATGTTTTCATTGTATCAAAACCAATAGATTGTGTTCTTATTTGTTCAAGTTCTGTTTGTAAAGCAATATTATCATTTTCTCGATCAATTAATAAACGTCTTATTTGTTGATTTTCATTTTCAATTTCATGAATATGTGTTTTTAATGTATCACATTTATCATACATAATTCCATGTTCAGCTTCTAAATGATATTGATGTTGAAGAAATTTTTTAAGTTTACTATTTGAACGTTCAAATTGTTCAATCAAATGCAATAGTTCATTTCGTTGTTGATACAATTGTTCAACTTCAAACGATACGGGTTGTTGATCATCCTAAAGGCATATAGATACTTATATTTATGTACAAAAGAAACTTTCTTTTTCCTTTTTTTTTTTTTTTTTCATTCAAATAACTTTTAAACAGAAGCCCTATAGATATACAAATCAACAATTCATAAGTAAAAAGAAAAATTTCCTTTTCAATTCGTTTACGGCATCACTAGATAAACTTTATGATATAAGACATTGAAGAAATCACTGAAATATTTTTATATAAATGAACAATCTATGGAAAAGTTGAATATAATTCATAAAATATCAATTAGATAGAAAGTTTTTAAAACAGTTAATTCAATTCAATGATCTAAATCACGCATACTCAATTGTAAAATTTCAATTTTGACTTTGTTTACATAACGTCATCGGTATTTTAAAAATTTTATGAAATGAGTTTTTTTTTTACTTTCATTGGTTCACTTTCAGCAGAATTTCGATTATTGATTGAGTTCACAAGAATGTTTGAGGTAAAGCTATGTCGCTAACATTTTTTTCGAACGACCTTTTAAACTGGGTTATTTTTTCAAAGTTATTCAAGAAAAACTTGAGTCCGTATAAATAAAAGAAGGTGAACACGAGTTGTCCATCATGTAATGTACATCTTTGACAGCAAACATTTTTCTCTCCGAATATCACATTCGAAATAGCGACAGATACTGCATAAGGTGGTTGATAATTTAAATTTTCACGACAGAAAAATGATAAAAAGATTAAATAAACATTGTCTTTTGTTTGTAGTAAAATAGACGTATACCATAGAAAGTTTGCTTTTAAGAAGTTTTAGTTACCCTAATGCAGTTCGTGTTTTTCTTTTTCTATCTATATGGACTCAATTTTTTTAGAACAGCTCTGAAAACTAGAACGTAGTTTTCAACAAAATTTTGTTCAATGTTTTATATCCTCTTACATATCATTATATAATGAATGATACAAGCTAAACTTCCTTCTCTTAACACATTCAATTGAATAGATAAAACTCTTAGTTTATGCTAGGAAATTCATTTTATTATGAGAAGTATATTGAATGTGGATGTAGCTGAAATTATGGGCATAGATGCCTTACTGATAGCCACAGCCTATATACTTTTCAGAATCCAATGAATTTTTGTGACCAATCCAAAAAGTATACACTTCATTTTAAGTTAAATCAATACTGCGCTTACTTCTCAAAGTATTAAATAAAATTTCAATGAAATTTTCTAGAAATAGAAATTTACTATTTCATGAAAGGAAACAAATGATACGATGATACAGTATTCGAAAAAAAGTCTTGCTACTGGATAAGAAATACATCAACTTTAATTGTTTAGTCTCATAGTTTGATCACATATAGAATATGTTGAACTCTGATTGCAACGACTAATCAGGACCTAATCTGCTTTCATGCGGAAGGACTAGAAGGTCAATATAGATTTTTTCTTCAGATAAAGATATCTCAACAAAGAAAATAGATCTAATGACGTTAAATACATCATTCAACGGTCCAGTGCTGCCTCTATCATTAATAAAAACTCTATCTATAGACATGCGAATGTTTATTTGTTAAAAAAGGAAATGAAGATGAACGCATTAAAAAATGAGAAAACCATAGAAGTTATTATTTTGGACCTTAGGGAAAAAAACAGTTTTTTTTTGTATCGGAAACTTTGCATTAAGACCTGTCGAGTTTGTGTTGCTGCTTGTAATTGCGATTTACTGAGCTATATTTGAAGTCAAAATATCAGGTAAAATAATTGAAGTTTATGTACTTTTTACCCAGTAGCAGGACTTCATGCGATTACTGAATGTAACTTATAGAGTTCGTTACACTAGAGTTTTAAAAAAGTTGGAGAAGCGACTTTTAATATCATTAGAAACTCCTAAGAATTTTAGCCAAAAATATAGTAGTCTCTTCTCGATCAAAAACTGTCTATGGACAAAGTTTCGTTAGTGTGTTTTTTTATAAAATGGCGCCAAAGGAAAAAAAGAGTCGAGTGTAACGGTTATAACTCCGGAAGTGCAGCGCATCGAGAATAATTCTTCTAGTCTCAACAGATTCTTTGTAACGAATGAGATCTCGTCGAAAGGATCCCTCATCAGAACTTTTATTACAACACTATTACCCGCACCCAAATAATAAATATCGATACGAATATACGTGCACAAGTATATATATCTAGTCGCATAATATGTCCTTTGAAAACTGAAAGTTTGCGATTTTTTTTATTGGTAAAACAAATTTAATGTTTCTTTCATCTTCTAATGTTCTTTTCTTGTTTCAAAATGTCATTGAAATCAAAGATAAAGTCTGTACAACACGATTCAATACTGTCAATTGTCATATATATTCATACATACGAGTTTAAGTTTTTTAAGAATATCTGTAACCGAAGATAATTTTTTTGTAATTTGTGCAATATCAGTTTCTGAATCTGCTAATGTTATTAATAATTGTTCTCGATCTGGATTAAGATGAATTGGACCTCGCATTGGTGTTGTACTACGTGCTCTTCGTCTGAACATATTAATTCATTTAACATGAAAAACTTCAAGAAAAAATAACAAACCTTTCATTAATTGGATCATCATAAAATGAAACTTTCGGTGTTATACTTCGTCTTCGTCGTTGTTCATCAACACTTGATGAACGATTATTATTATTATTACGTATTGGTGATAATGATTTTGAACGTGAAATTTTCGATGTTGAATTGAATATACGTTGAGCATGATTGCGTTGAAATTGTTCTAATTCAAGCAAAGATGAATCGATATCTGTACGAAGTTGATCAGTTTGTTCTTGATTAGCATTTTTACGTATCTATTTAAAAGTTTATTAATTTAAAATTTTGAATAGATAAATGAAGGTTGCTTGTTTTTTTTTGACTTACAAGTTCTCTAAGCATTCCAATGCCTTCAATAACGCTTTGAATACGTTTTTCATAAGTTTGAATTTCTGCCATTAATTTTTCATTATTATTATGTATTGAACGAGTATTTGTTTGAGAAGGAATTGTTGTATTTTGTTTATCATGTTCAGTATTCCAACTATCTTCATCATCAATTAGAATTTCTGTAACTGGATTTATTTCTAAACGTGATTTTGTATTCTATGATAAAAAAATATAAGAAAACGAAAACTTTTTCTGGAAAAATATATTTGCACACCTGCCAAGAAACTTTTTGTCCTTTTGTTGAACGACCTGGTGCTGGAACCCTAAATTATACAATGTTAAATTTTTTTTTTTTTTGTTTTTGAACAAATTCCATCAATTCTTCTTACCATGGTTCTCGATTCGGTGATGAACTTTGAGAACGTACTGGTACAACTAATTTAGGAATAACAACTCGTTTAGGAATATGAGATGATGGTGATAATATAGTTTTTGTTTTCTTAGTTTTAGTCTTGTTCATAACACGTGTATGCATTCGCGGCACTTGTCGACCTCTACGAGTCGATACTTTAGTGTATTTCTGAGTGTTCGATCCATCCCGTCGTTCATTTTCAATATGAACATCGACAGGAGTAATGGCTTGCATCTAAAAACAAATACACATGAAGATTTATAGTAGTTGATCATCGATTAACTTATTTTCTTTTGTTTAATTAGAAGCCATATTGATTTCGTTTATAAATCATGAACTAAGTTATGTCCTCTTTATTGAACATGAAAGCGACATTTTTATGAGATTGACTTTGAGTGACATCTGAAGAGAACATGTTTAGTGTTGAACGAGTGATAAGTCTTCTATTCAAAGATGGCTAAAACTAGGCTTATGATAATTGAGTAATAGTTTTGATCTGAAAAGGTGCTAAAAAATTCTTTGGATAGGAAATCATCTCTAGAATTAATTCTTTAAATTGAACTGTTGGAAAAATGTTTGTTTGCAGTAATGGAATAAAATTGCTATAGTTCGGGAATGAAATTCTCAATAAAAGAACAACATTTTAAGATAGAATAAACGTGCTCCGAGTAGAGTACGTCGGATCCAAACTTTTCGGATCCGATCGAAGCGTACTTTCATATCATTACTAAAAATTCTCTAATTAGACTTGAATGATCTTTCTGAAGATACGGAATATTTTTTTTCGGGTTTTTATCTTCAGTGACTAATGCATCTTACACATTTCTTAGACGACTAAAACCCATAAGGTATATAGCTGTCGGACCCAGACTCGACCACATCCGGAAACGACACAACAGGCTCCAATCTCCGAGACTTATTATAATATGTTTTATTATTACAATAATAGAAATGATCAGAATGTTCAGTATATATTGATTGAATAAGAACTTGATTGTCTTAGTAGTTCAATGGAATGAGAAATCTTTTCTTCCGTTCCATTCTATTGAAAAGAAAACATTAGACTTTTTTTTATAAAATCGTGTCACTCTGCATTTGTGATTGTCTGGAATCAGTGGTGTGTTTTATTATTAATATTTTGCTTTCGTATTGTAAGTTAAAATGTCGGTAAAATAAAATCGATAAGAAATAAAAATATACACTTTGTAGCAATACTCAAGCAAACAATAAATGGTTAGAACTGAGTTTAAACGCTTGTTAAAATTTTGACCGAAATCGTTAAAAGCTTCATCACTTCTTTTATTCTTCCGGAAAAAAAATCCCGTTTAAACAATGTTTTTCTGTTTTGTTTTGATTATCAAACAATAAGTTGTAACTAGAAAAATTATATTATTGTTATGTTCTCAGTAAGTGATGTTGTTAGCACTTACTAGTTGCTAGTCGTCAATTGTTATTATCGCTTACTTCCTACTAGTGAATAATAAGTAATTAGTTTATTTATTCCGCAGTACCTTACGTCATCGAATTGTTACTGTATAGGAATTTAAAACGAAAAAAAACAAACATTTCCTATTACTAATAATCGAATTTGTAGTAACAAGACATGTAACAATTTAAATGAAAAACATTCTTCGTAGTGAGTTTTCATCATGGTTTTAAATGTCTTCTAATTATATCTTTTCAACAATGTCTCTAGGGTACGCTGAATCGTTGAAACATATATCATTCTATGCTAATAACATACGATGCAAAAGTAATAGCACAAAATGCCAACCATTTTGTTTCTTCTCAAACATCTCCTTGAAAAGAAAATATTTTACAATTGGATAGGAAAGTTTTTCCTTGCTCAAAGTGTCTAGTACTTATTTTTGTCAGACACTTATAATAGAATGGCATGAGAAAAAAAAGAGAAGCATCCAAAATTGAAAATAATGGCATATAATGTTGATCCCTATATCCCTTCCTTAAAAGTGCATGAACACGATACTATTTTTAGCAGCTGATAGAAAAAATATTCTCCGCTTTGTACCTGTATATAATTTGTCTTCGTTGAAGATTAAGAAACAAAATGACACAGAAAGAAAAAGAAGCACTTGCTTCAGACATTTATAATTTTTATATCAATTCATTACGTAAATCTTGTACAATGATAGTTAATTATTTTAGAAAACAAAATTCTCCAAGAAGACCTATTTATAATATATATTGAATAAATAAATTGTGGCAAGCTGTACAAAATGATTTCTTGTAATTGTGATCTCTCGTATTAGACAATGAAAAATAAATAATATGCTACTGGGAAAAGGAAAAAAATTTCCATCAGCTGGTAAAAGAATTATCGTTCTAAAATGTGTTTTAAGAAGAGATATATCGATTGACATTTGGTGCCATTCTTTTCAAATATATGAAATGTGCGAAATTATTTTTAGGGTATTTCTCTTGCCATTTTACTTATAAGTATATGACAAAAATAAGCAATATATAGTTCGAACAAAGAGAAAATTTCCTATCAAATAGTAAAAAAACTTTCTTTCCAGAGTTGTACTTGTGAAGAACTATAAAGCGGTTGACATTTTGTATCATTACTTTTGGATTATATGTTATTTAATGCGAGCGAAAAGCAAGCTTTTCTTTTATTTGCTGCAGTTGCATCATCATAAAGTGATATACTGCTGAACAAAGATAGACTTCCAATGTGTCTCATATTGAATATATTTTCATAAATTGACTATCGACAATAGATATCATATTGACTTTTTAAAATATCATCATATTCGACATCAATTTATTTTACTACATATTTAAGTAAGTCAATTTTAGTTTGATCTTGAATAATACGATATCGAAAAGCTTTTCCTTTTTTTTTTTTCTTTTAAAATAATAAGTTCGAGTTTAGTTGTTCCATGAAGTGTTAATAATTGACTTTTAGGTATTTCATGTTTTCTTTTTTCTCTTCACCAGATAGAAATATAGTTCATCATTTGTCTACATTCGAAACGATTTTCCATTTGTACTGTCTCTTTTATTTTTGTTCAGCATATGAAAAAGAAAAAGAAATAAGAAAATTAGTTCAATCGGTACTTTTATTATCATCAGTAATGGTGACCTTTTTTTGAACAGTTCTGATATTGATCAAGTTACAGTGATCACTATATGTAAAAGTTAGTTTCACTTTCAACTAACTATAAAAATAATTTGAAGTCTTCAAAAGATGAATAAACTACAGAAAATCTTATCACCCAAGAGAAAAGTATATAGAATCACTTCTGCAAAGACAACACTGTTATTTCTAGAATAGACTAGAAGCTTACGATAATCCGTTTAATTTTCAAAGAATATCATTTGTGTTTTCGATTAAACTCCTTATTAAATCCTGATACTATAAACCTATTCAAATAAATAAAGATGAATTTAATGTTACAGATAGAATAAAGCATTAGCAGTAATTGCAATACTGATTGTACTTTTTTTTTCTAAATATTAGAAACTTATGAAATAATTAATGTTTAGCTATTTTCTTTCACTAATCTCCATATTATTCGTGATATTTATAGATGTATTTATTCAACAATCTAATTTGTCAGTTATTTTAAATATGAAATTTTAATTTTTCATTATAAAAAGAATAAATATAAAATCTTCTGACATACTAAAATTAGTCGGTTGATTATGAATGGCATTTAAGAATTCAGCAAGTTAATATCTGAGAAACAAGAAATTAAAATTGATATTTTTCAGTCTAATTTTGAGAATTACTATATGTCTTAATCAACTGATTGTTTTTGTATGATAAATGATATCGTCAAGATTTTATTTCTATCAACAAACTATAAAAAGTACTACATGAAGTAATTACCTTTAGTCGAGATAAAGCATTTGATTTCTTTATATTAGAATATATCAAAATTAATTTTTATGAAACTATTTGTCGAAATTCGAACAATTTAAAGATCAGAATAACTCAAGAAATTAAAGAAGAAACGTTGTGTAATATTATTATGGAATCCAGAAAAAGGTTAAATTCTTGTAACGTGTGTAAAACTAATTATTTTAAAAAGTCCATTTATAGTTTGTCAATAGAAATAAAAACTTAATGTTCTCATTTATCATACGATCTAAAGTCAGTTAGGAAAGTTCAATCAGTACGGAAGTTATACGAAAAAAAAAATTTTTGAATAGGACTTTTTGGACACCCTATAAATTTCTCAATTCATCGTCTACATGACATGTTTATTAATCGTTACCAGACGTTTATATTGAAAACCTTTCCAACAGTTAAAATGGTGAAAGTTGTAATAACTTTGACCGTTCAAATATAAAAAAAAACGTGTTACAAGATTATTAATCATAAATTGTTTTAACGCGTTTTTTTGGCGAGTAATCAAACATGTTTCATAGTTTACATATTGATAAATTTAAACACCATTTTAACCGTTATTGTATTTGTCTATGTACGTCAACATAAATTTGATTTAGGAGAAAGTATTATATAATTCAAGTTGAATCAGTATATTCAAATTTATCAGCATGTTTTTTCGAATATATAAGATTGAAAAATAAAAAGACTCATTATAAGTTTATTTTACACAAGAATAAATTAAGTCACGTTTGTTCATGCATTAGTAAATGAGATGTGTTATTTTTACCGGATCATTGAGTCGTTTTTAGTTTTTCAAGGTCATTGCGATATAATTATATTTATCAAAAAATGGCAAACTGATCTGGATTGTGTACTTTGTAAAAAAAAATTGAATTTTCGTCTATCACTTATTATTAATATTCATGATATAATCAACTTTATCTCAGTTTTACAAGATAGATATTTACTTTTTTGATTTCCTTTCACGTAACTTTGTTTGACGAACACTTTCTTGATTAATAAAAAAAAAATAATGTGTTTGAAATCATAATGTATTACAAATGTCTTTGTTTTACTACAATTAAACGTTAGCATTTAGTACTATTAGTTTCAAAAGAAATAGCTTAAGTGGTAGCTCTCAAAAAATATTTAAATAAAATTGACGCAAAATTCTTTGTTTTGATATCAAAATGAATCTTAAAAGTAATGTGTCTTACTTCTTTTTAGATGATATTAATAGATATCAAAGATTTTATTTCATCCATGAAATTGGCTTAGCTATTCCTCATTCCAGTTGTGCACCGCTGGCTTCAAACATGGTATTATCTATACCCTGTAGGGTTGTAGAATATCGTGCTCATTTCAAAAATTTTTC